TATATATATATATATATATATATACACGTACACCGAAAAAATTGTATTCTTGTTTTGAGAATATTCCACTTACTTTAAGTATATTTTATATTAAAACAGGCGCCAAGAAGAGTTTCTTATTTTAAGAGGAAAATCCTCTAAATAATAATATTGATAAGAATATATACTGATTAGAATATAAAAAGTTTCTATAGAAAAACATATATATATCTCACTATCGAAAAAGATTATATTCTTAAATAAAGAATATATATTCTTAATTTCAGAAAAATATCATCTATAAAATCTTTAAGAAGATTTTTTAAGTATAAAATCTTCTTAAACTTACGAGAATATAATTTTTTCTGAAATGTCTTTCAAAGTTGCTGAAATAAAAAAAGAATAATCGTATGTTTTCGAATGTTGTTAACTAAAACAACAAACTGTTGTTACGTAGCGTTTGAATAAACTTAAATTGTTTTTTTTTTTTTTTCACATTTCTCTCTCATAGCTCGCGCTAATTATATAGATTCGATCATACAAGAATATATAATCGCTTGAATAAAAAAATGTATTTCGACGAATTGCTTACATTCGTGAAAGAAACCTTTGTACTCTCTCTCTCTCTCTCTCGCGCAAATCTTTCTGGCGCGGACACACTCGATCGTTTCATGCAACAAGAGCACGCGATCGGAAAATAGATTGTTATAAGCCTCCTAACGCGACCTCGTTAAATTGTAACCGAGTGTCATTCTCTGATAACCCAACGCGGCTTTTACTGTCTCTCTCTCTCTCTCTCTCTCTCGACGGAGGTCGATAAAGAAAATGTGCAATGAGCGAGGCTTCTGGTTAATGTTGCACATACAGGAAACCAAGCGTGGAATTCAACTCCCGCGTCTGCTGCACTTCAGAAAGCTAATAACTACTACGCGCCCATGATCGAGCGGTCGTGAGTAGAAAATATTGTCCGCTCGCACAAACTATTAATTACAATTATTATAATTATTATCGTATTAAGTACGTTTATCTTAACTTAGATTTTTAAGAAAAAGTCCGACAGGTGAATAAAACGCACGCTGTATACGAAACGTTTGTATTTATAAAAAAAAAAAGAACTTAAAAAAAAAAACGCAAGAATATATTTTGATGAAAAAGAAAAAAAAACCTTCTGTTTTATATCTTTGATTTTTTTCGAAGGAAAAACACCAAGGCGTCGTCACGAGGGAAACGTCTCACCCTTCACAACGGAAACATCGCGGAACGTCGTCGAAGCTTCGTTACATCCGAATCTCTCGGATCTGTCGGGGCCGTGTGTGTTGTTCTTCTCTCTATAATAAATTGTGTAACTTTAGGAGCGCGGCGATACTCTTCTGCAACGACGTTCGCTTGTTATATATATATTATATATAAAAAAAAAAAAAAGAAATGCGCGCGATCCCTCCGCGCCAAGAAAGCGAAAGGGATAAATCGGCACGATAAAAATTCGCGGCCGCGGTCAAATATCGCCGATGACTGAATTAAAATAGATAGAAGCGGTAGTAAATTGTCGGTAAAAACCGGAGAGAGAGAGACAAACGCGAAGCTACGATCTTTTTTAGTGGGAGGTGCTAAAATTAGAGGTGGCCGCGCGCGCGATGTGTAAGTCGCGCGTTTTGTCGCGCTCCAGCTTTTTTCTTCGGACACTTTTAGATAGTCCTTTGAGCCGATAAGACAAAAAGATTCCGGGGGTGCGGTTTGTCCATATCGATTGAGACAATTGTTGTTCTCATCATCATGATCGTCACGATCGGCGGTCGATTTTTTTGCGGACGGCGAGCAACGGACGTTTTCACGATTCAATAAAACGTTTCCGTGGTTTGCGAAATCCTGGGGAAGAAGAAATGTTCGCGCGTCGATCGATAATCGGTCGATCGTTAGTCGGATATCTAGCTGCGGTGTGCGTCGTATCGCTGTCGACGAACCTCGTCGCGCAAATCGAAGGTAGGTAAGACCACTTGTCACACCGTTGGGTTCTCTAATTGGCTAAAAGGAAGCTTGTTATTATTATCGACGACCCACGTTAAGCGCCGTTAATTAAACATTCTTTTCGCGAGCACGAATGTGGCGACTTTTTACCTTAAGTTTAAACAAATATTATTTAATATACACAACTGGACCGCAGAATCAAGTGTATGATTTTTTTTTCGTGCAGTTGTTCGAAGACAAATATTTTCTTTTTTTTTTTCTAGTTTGATTTGAATCTCGCTAAAAACAACAAATTTTACTCCCCACCAAATCAAGATATTGATTTCTGTTTCGCCGTTCGTTTTTTTTCGAACAGACTTGGCTATTTTTGCCTGTGGATGCTTTGTAAAAAAATTCACAACGCCGAGAACCAAATAATTTGTAGCACTTTGTGTGTTTATATATCGTCGAGTGACAGAATAACGCGTTGACAAATCGAAAGTGCAAAAATTTATATAGAAGAGTTTTATTTCTCAGATTGTAATCCTTTACGTTACGTTAGTTTCGAAACGTATGTATGTGTATCTGCTATTGGTCTCGTCAAATGCTGCAAATAAAAACATTATACTGACACGTTAATAAGATCTTAGAGTTAAAAATAGATGTGCGAATATATATATATATAGAGAGAGAAAGATATATAATAAAATACATATATACATATCGTAAAAATAATACCAAGTCTTACCCGTGAATTCGGATACATTTCTTCATTCTCGGAATCCATAATCGTCCTGGAAGACATTTTGTGAATATTGAAATACTAGGTTCGGTAGACACCATTGCGATAAAACTTGATATCAAAACGGCAACCAATAAACATACACCAAATAAAATATTTCTGTTCTCCATCGTGTTTTCGCACAATAATTTAAATTTTGAAAACAAATCTGGAATCACACTTCGGTTATTGCTTCCAACACTGGTTTCCAATGAGCAACCTCTTGTTCGAAACGTTCTCCTTTTATACCATTTGAAGTTATAAGTGTTACGTGTCAAGCGCAATATAATATTTGATAAAAACGTGACACGAGAGAAACTTATCGAAACGTTTGTGTCACGTTTGTCGCGTATAGATTGCAAATATNAAAAAAAAGTCATAATTTTTTTCTTCTTATCATCGCATAAAAAAATGTGACGGAATATATTATATACATAAAAATATAATAATCACGTACACGATCAGGAAACACATTTATTTAATCGTATAAAAAAAAGTGCAGAGAAAAAATTGTATTCNTGTTTTGAGGATATCCCACTTACTTTAAGTATATTTTATACTAAAATAGGCGCCAAGAAGAGTTTCTTATTTTAAGAGGAAAATCCTCTAAAAATAATAATATTGATAAGAATATATACCGATTAGAATATAAAAAGTCTCTATAGAAAAACATATTTATCTCACTGTCGAAAAAAACTATATTCTTAAATAAAGAATATATTCTTAAATAAAGAATATATTGTTAATTTCAGAAGAATATCATCTAAAATCTTTAAGAAGATTTTTTAAGTATAAAATCTTCTACTTACAAGAATATAATTTTTTTCGGTGTGTCGAATGTAAATTGTCTTAAGTGTCATCTTTTTGTTTTTTTTTCAATTAATTGTAAAAAATATTTACATTTTTTTTTAATGTGAATATCCGTACGCAGGAAGAAAATGCGTGTGCACGAGCAAAGTCTGCAAGGAAGCTGGAGTGGACACTTGTAGAACGAGATTCTTCTGTTACACCGAACTTATTTTGACAAACGAACGAGAAGTCGGTGAAAATACAATTACAAGAGGATGCACAGAGTATGCGCATGTGTCTCGCAAATTACTTTTATTATTTTTAATGACACTTTTGTGTGTAAGTAGATACTTAATTTTTCATGCGCAGTGTAGAATGTTGAGATCGTCTTTAAATTGGAAAAAAAGAAAACAAGTAACAACGACGATTGTACTAATAATATGCTTGTTTTTTTTTTTTTATTTAAATATATTTTATTTTCAAACTATTGAAAGTTTTTTCAAAAAACAAGTCGCATTGTTTCCTCTCGTTGTATAGTTAAAATGTTGAAGTATTATTCTTCTTCTTCGCAAACACGGAATTCGTCGTGTGACTTTGATTAAAACTGTAATATAAATTCAGGAATGTGTCACGTGACGCGCGAATATAACCTTGACGAGATAATCAAGTGAAAAAGTTTCCTCGATTTTTTATATTAAATGTCTCATTTTAACATTTACCGTCGTGATCGCCGTGTTTGAAAGTGGCAGCAACACGACGCGAGTTCGCTCGAATGAAATCCGGATTTTTTATTATGTTAATTAGAGAATTAAATCTTCTTGCGTTTTTTGTTTTTCGCGAAAAAGTATATGCGATGTGAACAATTTGAAATAAACACACAGGAGTGCGATTCGAATCTATAGATAGCAGAATGCTTGTTTCGATGTGCGCGCGAATTTAAAAAATTCAACTTGAAAAATTCAACTTGAGAAAACAATTCTATCGCGCGATGAAAAAACAACATCGATAATTGAGATAATTCAAGCAAAATAAAGTATATATATATATATGTATGCCGCCTCTCTTCTTGTTACGGTTCGACGACTTTTATTGCTCGGATTTTATCGCGCAAACGTCGTCGAGGAATTTATATTCGATTATCTCCTCGAGCTTGCGAGTTCACGGAACTTTTATCAAAATTGACGTTCGCAATCTCGTAACGCAGGGGTGCCACGCCATTGTTGTGCGAGACAAAGTCCTCGGTCACGGGGTCGCGATCGGTCAACGTCGTCGTGGAACCGCCGTCAGTCAGTTCCCGGATTCTCGCAACCTGGCCCAGATTGAAATGTTGCGACAGCCACAATTATTGCAACGCCGCCGCCGCCGCGTTCGACGACGATGAGGAGAATGTGAATCCGTGGACCGGCGAGAAAAAAACTCAAATAAATCAGACGCGTTTCTTCCGAGATCGCAAATTATCAAACAGCAATCTAGGGAATCGCTACGTGACGCAGTCCGATCAGAAGTACGGGGGAGATCCGACGGAATCAGCCGATCAACTTCTGCGAAATCGCGTCAAGGCGCTGCACGTTGCCGCCCTCGTCCTCGCCTTCGCGGCCCTCATATCCGTCCTGGCGTCCTGCTACGTGGTTACGAGGTTTGTGCGCTTCTTCCTCTCGTCTGATTTTTTTGATTTATTTATTCTTACACGCGCGAAATTAATCGCTTATTTACATCAGACATATTTGTATCAATCGACTTTAGAATAAGTAGTCGAGAAAATATTAATTTTGTTACTTTGTTTCGGATACTTATCAATCGCCGTCATTTGCGCGGAAAAAGTCGGCGATCGTATCGCCGCGAGGCGATTTCAAGCTGTCGCTAATTAACATTGAATATAATTAACGATTGGCGAAGATAAATTCTATTCGAGTATATGCCTCGGTAGCGCGGGGACCACCCTGCGTAACAGATCGTGAACATCGAGGCCACGAGGCGAGCACGTACACGTTTATAGCAGCCACCTACACGGCTTCTCCAGGACTCGTTTTTCCCACGTGCAACGACAAGATCAACTCGCGATTTAAAACTCGAATAACAAATCCGCGCACCTAATACCACCTTTTATTTTAATTCTTTTAATTCGCGCGCGTGTGCATTGTCTTCGTCGCGAGAGCGACGAAAAAACAAAAGTTGCAATAATGCAACTTTTATCGTAATCTTGCTTCAAAAGGACGCGAAAGAATAACAAAGAGAAACAATTTAAAACATCAATGTGTAAATGTACACCGAAAAAATTGTATTCTTGTTTTGAGGATATCCCACTTACTTTAAGTATATTTTATACTAAAATAGGCGCCAAGAAGAGTTTCTTATTTTAAGAGG